CTACTCCTCGTCAGAGAGGCCCTGCTAATGGGTGGAGATGAGCGCCAATCAATGCATCGCAGAAAATAAATGTAAAAAAATGAAAATTTTCGAACAAAAAACTATATCTTTTCAATGTGTTTTTTTTTTAAGCATTTCGAGGCCACCTTAGTTTCTTCTTTGTGCTTCGAAGGGTAGGCTAAAGTGAGGGAGTAGCAATCTACAACTACACCACTAAAGTGTCATTAAATCCTACACACTGATCCTTTAGAACAGGCGTAAATAAACCCCACAACCATTGATTTTTTTCAAGTGACTTAAAAATAGAAACCAAAAATTGCATATTATAAGCGACAACTGTACAATTTTAGTTAAATGGAAGCTGTACAGTTTCTGCAAGACTATGTGCAAAACATCACAGTATTAAGTATAAAGAATATTTTGGCAATAGGTCCAGGTTCATCTGCTTCACACGCACACACTATCACGCATGCGCTGCGTGTCCTGCACGTTGACCTGCGGTGGAACGTAAACTCGAGCAGTATGACAGAAACAAACTCTCAGAGGGAGTTAAAAGGTTACAGTGTCTTACTTTGTGTCTGAGGGTCCAGGTTCATTGCTAAGATATGGGGGTGACTCTTTGGAGCGGTGACTCTTCATAGACAAACAGCTGGATACTGGACACTCTTCTGTCTGTACGTGGCACTGACCTCTGCAATAAAACATTGACAGATTTTTCATCAAAACAAGACAAACAGTTAAGTTGTATGTACAGATCCTTTGCCTCAAGTATATATCTGTTATTTATTCATATTCTTTCTCCTGACTGCACCCTTACATTTGTCAGTACTCCTTATACCAGCAGCTGACTGTGTTCATGTTGATGCAACAGTTATTAGTGAATCTTAACTAAAAGACAAAGCAACATTCATCAGGTCAGTTTACAGTAAAAACAGTTTCTTACTTTGTGTCTGAGGGTCCAGGTTCATTACTGAAGAATGGGGGTGATCCTTTGGACCGGTCACTCTTCATAGACAGACAGCTGGATACTGGACACTCTTCTCTCTGTACGTGGGACTGACCTCTGCAAACACAAATGAATATGAAAATGTGGGGGTTGCCTTTATTGGATAGGACAGCTAAGAGTGACAGGAAAGTGAGGTAGAGAGAGGGGACGACATGCAGCAAAGGGCAACTGGATGGATTTGAATCCATGGCCGCTGCTGAAAGGATTCAGCTTTGGTTTATATTACAGTGAGGCAAAGAAATAAGAAATGATAATCTGCTCAAAATTCATCCAAAGTTGGACACACCCTTCCTGCAGTTTCTGTGTTCACTGTTTTGGTTAAACTGTTGTTGTGTACTGTACTGATATTGTCATGTATTGAATATAATATAAAATATGTTACATAGTGAGGGACAACAGTTTACTCAATGAGAGAAAAAGAAAAGGAACCACTGCAATAGTTAACTGCTGTAAACAAGCCCATGTTTTTCACTAAATTCAAGTCAAAAAGATGTAGTTCAATGCCACTACAATGCTGTCTTGTTATTGCATGATGACAAAAAGATTTTGATATTGATGGATTCTAAACATTTGAAAATATATAAATAAACTGCAGACTATGCAGTAACATTACTTTACGAACATTTCAGGAATACAGCCTTCATCATATTTTGTATCTAATTGTTCTCCAACTGTCTTCATCATTCTGAAACCAGAACACAACAAATGTTGAAGATGACTCATTTTCACTCCTAAAGAGAGTTAAATAACATAGCTAGGGTAGGAATTTGAAACGTTTGAAACTATGCAGGA